GTTATCTTAGTACTAAAAAAAATTAAGTACTAATGCAAATAAGATTTATTAAATATTTGATACTTATTATAAAAAACATCTTTTTACAAATAATTAATAATTATATAAAAAATATTAATTTTATAAATTAACTTTAAAATTATTATAAGTAACATTTAACAATAAGCTGTACTTGTTTTTTTTTATTTTTTAATTATTAGATATTATTCTTATTAATTATATTATTTTTTATTATAAAATTACAAATACAAAGATTATAAGCAAAGAATTTAAATTATATTTGTATAGAATTTAATTTAAAAAACTAATTAATGAAAGCAATAATAATAAAATAATTTAAAGTTACTTAAAACAAAAAAACTTCATTAAAATTTCTATCAAAAATAAGAAAATTATATATATTACTAAATTTTTAATCTATTTATAAGTTAACTTTCTCTAAAAAATCATCTAGTAGAATAATGATAAAAAAATTATTATTGTATTTATTTAATAAAAAATAATAATAAAGATAAAAAAAATTAATGCATTTTTTTAAATTCAATTCTAATGTATTAAAAATAATATACTTCTTTGTTGCTCTAAAATATAACCTAATTACTTAAAAATTTTCATAATAAAAAGTAAATAAATTTATTAAATACTTGTTTTTTATTAATTTCATTAATTTTGAAATTGATTTATAATATTAATTATAATTAAATAGTATAAAAATAATCTTATAAAATTTGAAATAAATTTAATTTAAATTTATATATAGATTATAGAATATCTTAAATACTAATTAGGAATATATAAATTAATTAAAAAACAAAATTATCTTATATATCAAAAAAACATATAAAGCTAATTAAGGAACAGAAATATTTCATCTTGTATTATTATTATATAATATAAATAAATTATAAAAAAGAATAAAAACTACTAATAACATTAAAAATTCTGATAAAGAATCTATAAATTAAAGTGTTTGTTATTACTAAATTGGAAACTGATAAAATTTTGGTTTTAGTTTAATAATATACTTTTTAACAAAAATCAGTTAATTAAATTCTAACTTAATTCTAAAAAAAGTAAAAAATATACCAAAAAGTTTTAAATATCATATATTAAAATATATTTAAATTTTAATTTATTATTACTCTTAATGTTTAATAATTTAATCAAATATGAGTGATGAAAAGAAAAAACCTATAAATTATTTCAAATAATAAGTAAAATGATTTACAGAATTTCATTTTTTATAACTCATATTTAATAATAAACAGATAATTCAAATACAATCTTTAACAAACTATTTAACTTATTACAGTAATAAATTTAATAAAATACAGAAAATTTAATATTTCTAAAAAAGTATTAAATTTTTTTTGAATCCACTTTATTACAGAATGCTGTGAGATGCACTTTATTAAATTGTTATAATACAGGTAACTTATTTTAGATTACAATGCATATTAATTTAACACTAAATATTGAAAAAAAGTGTTTTTTACTTTTAATTTTTTTATTGTTTTATATTACAAAGTTTTGATTTTCTTCTTAATTTTATTTGTCATAATAAAAGATATTAGTAAGTCTGAAATAAACTTTTTTCTCTATTTCAATTAAGTATAATAAAATCATATCTTATAAATTGCAATAATACACAGTCATAATATGATTATTTCAATTTCTTGTTGCCTACATTAGCTTCTGTAAATATTTTCTCTATTGTGTTTGGAGATGTTTTAGCTATGTTTTGTAAGAACCTGTATATTAACTACTAATGTACTCTAAGTTTAGATTTCTTCAGAGCTCTTTGGACACTCAACAGTATCTTCTTGAATTATATGCTACAATTGATAATTTAGAAGTAGTACATAATAATAAAAACATTAGAATATATCTAATTTTTTGTTATTAATATATTTTATATTAATTCATCCTTTATAAAAGACTGTTAGCATTTGTCTTATATTTTTTTGTACTGCTATAAGCTAGATGTATTTGTTTTTTAAAAAAATTATATATTTCTTAACTATGTATTTATTACTGTTACAACTAGTCAAGTTAATAAAGTTTAAGTTCCACATTTATTTGTTAGAAACATTTAAACTTTCTTTTATTTTTTTTATATTAATAGGTAAGCTTTCTATTTGTCAGACTATGTCTTGAACTTAACTGATACTGTAACAATAGCATCTACTACTGTAATGTTATATTTATTTCTTAAACTTTTTAATTATTTTATTCAGTTTTGGTTCAAAAGTTAGAAATTAAAAGTAATTTAAATCAAAATAAGAGCAATTTAGTATTTAGATAATTCTTTAAACTTGGGACATTACAGCTACTATGTTTATTACTGCATTAAAATAGACATTGTTTATAAGCCATTTTTAATTTATTTTATAATGTTTATTTCTAATTAATTAGTAGCTTTCTGGTAAAAAAAATATATAAGTTGCATATCATATTTTGAAATAAGGAGTGACTTTATAACAAGAATATTTTTTATTAATAAGTTTATTAAACTAATTTTTTCATTGTATCTTTTATTTTTTTGCTATATCTGGTCAAAACCCTTTGTTAATATTTTCTATTAAGTTAACCTTAAAACCTAGTACTTTAACAAAATCATCTTATTGCAAAATATTAAATAAGTTAATTGTTTTTGATTTATATTAACATGTATTGTTTGTAATAGAAATTAGTACTGATTTTCTTTTATCAATTTTAGTATTTAATGTTTTTTTATAATTATTTAAGTAAGAGAGAAGTAAGTTTCAATCTGATAATGTGCCAATCCTAATAGTAAGATTATTAGCATAGGTTGCTATACAAAAATGTTAAAATTGTATTAAAATTTCTTTAAAATTTGCATTTAGAAGCTTGAGTAAAGGCTTAAATGCTATAATATAAAGAAGAAAGAAAAATAATTATCTTGTCTCATCTCTTTTTAATATTAAATAACCTTAATATTATTTCTGCATTCAATATGTATATCTGTTAAGCTTTATATAGAGCCTTAAGCATTTTAATAAACTCTTGGCTAAAGTTTATTTTTTTAAGTACTTTTAAAAGGTAATTGTGATTTACTTTGTCAAAAGCTTTCTGTTAATCTAAGAATAAGATTTAATAGTATTATAAAAATTTTTACTATTTTTATATTATAATAATAATGTTCATTATATAGTATTTGCAATCAAATAATCTTTTATAAAATCTTATTAATAATTCTCAAATTTGAGTTTGATATATTTTGTTAACTCTGTTTATAATAATTTTTATAAAGACATTTATATCACAATTGACCTGTAAAATAGGATGTCAATTGTCAATTTTATTTAGAGCATCAAGCTTTTTTAATATCAAAATAATGATATTTTTGTTTTATGAGCTTGATGCAAATTCTAAGTTAGTTTTTTCCTTCAGCTTCTTAAAAAACTTGTATATAAGATTGTTTATATCTAGGGTCTTGTTGCTAAAAAAATATTTAATAATCTGACAATTTTTTTTCTTGGTAATGTTTTCTAATAACTATTTATTTTTCTTAATAAAATTCTGTTTAGCTTTTTTTTTATTTTTTCTATAAGATCTTTATCTATAGGTTTCTCTTTATATAACCTTTTATAATAGTCTTTAATATATTTTAATGTATCTTTTAAGTCAGTTAAACTTAACTCTTCTGGAATTTTAATTTTCTCTATTGTTATAACTATATGCCTTGTCTTAAATTGACTAAAAAAATATTTAGTAGATTTTTTACTATTTTTGATCTATTTGGCATTTGATCTGAGTTGTCATTATTCAAATAAATTAGAGTTTTTTTGTAATTTGTAATTCTTCTCTTCCAAATTTTTTACTAACTTATATTTTATTTAAGTGATTTATTTATTTAACTTATATATAATATTTTTTGATGATCTTGGCAATAGAGTAAACTCTAATAATATATTAAATTCTACACTTGTAGAAATTCCAATTATGTATTAATCTTATCTGGTTTAATTTATTTCTGATTCTTGTCTTGAGAGAATTATTTATTAAACACTAGTTATTAAATTTTTAATATACTTTTTGAAATCATAGTTTTGTAAGGCTCAGTTCACTTTCTACTAACAAGTGATCTGAATTTTCAAATCTAGTTGTTGTGTTTTTACAACAATATGTAAATTGCTTATTGATAAATATATAATCTAGGCATATAACAATTAATGAATTTTCTTATATTTTCTGAAAGAAAATAAGAAAGGGTTTTTGTTTTGTTATAATAACTGTATCAATTAAACTAATTAGCTTCTTCTTGAATATTTTTATAGATAGGTTATTATGTGCTAAAGCATGACTAATTCTATTTATTTCTAGATTAGTATTTTATATTAAAATTATTAGCTATAATGGTAATTGTATTATAATTTTACTTTGTATCAAATTGTTATAAAAATAATGTATAAATATTTAAAATTCTAAATTCTTATCTTTTGTATCTGAAATTCACTTTTAATATTCTGCTATCTATTTCTTTTTCTATATTATCAAATGTAAAATCTTTTTACTAGTTAAAATTGGCATTTTTAATATCCAAATTAAATTAAATAATTATTATTGTTAAATAAAATTTCTTATGTTATAGTCTCTTAAATTTGTCTCTTGTAACATTTTAAGGTTCAATTTGTACAATTTAAGTAAAATCAAGATTTGCTGTTGCTTGATTCTGTTATTCTAACCTTTTACATTAAATGTTATTATTTTAAATAATTTATTTTTGTAAAACAATTTTTTGTTAAATATTCTATTAAACTCCAAAGAAAAACAATTTCTAAATATTTGTGAAGATTATAAAAGACTTCTAAAGTGTGACTCTCATTTATATAGCTTTTTATTATATAATCCATTTTTGTGTGATAGGTTGTGATGTTATATTATATTTTCTTGTTATTTTTTTCTGTGTTTTTTATATGACACTCTTGTATATCCTTCATTATTTGCATTCTGATCTCTTATTATTTTTGAAATTTTTATTGTTGCATTGCAATCTTTGATTTTTTTACACTAAACATAGTATTTTTATTGCTGTCTTTTGTTATATATTCTCTAGAATTTTCAATTTCTAATATTGTTTCTAAATTATTCTTATCTTGAGACAAGAAATCCTTAGTTAGATTACTTTTCTCATATAATAACTTATTCTTAAAAATTGTTTCTTAAATTCTATCAGAAAGGTACAAATTGTTATACTATAGTTTTGCATTTTAATTGATTAATTTATATTAGGATACTTACTCACATGTCATTTTTCAACATCTTTTTTAAAATTAATTAACTTTTAAATTATAAACAATTTTTTCTAAGATGCCCAAAAGTATTGCAATAGAAGCAAACTTTGGAACTGACTTCTATTCAGTAATAACTTTTTGTTTTCAAATACTTATATGTCTGGAAATTCTTTGTTCTAGATCAAGATCATTAGTAGTATCAAAGATAACAATTTACTGGTTAGTGTATATAGGTATACCTTCATATACAAAAAGTTTGATCAATTTTATTATACCAATTTTTTCAAAAACTTCCTTTATGTGTTCAGAAATGAATATTTTGTCTCCAATTAAGACATTTTTAAGTTTTATAACTAAGTGCATAGTTCTAAGATTTGTAAGAATATAACCTAACAGGGTCTGTTTAAAAATAACAATCCCTTCCATTGCATATTGATATTACTTTTTCTCATTAGTGAATATGATTTTCAAGTAGGTTTTTTTGTCTTTACTACAATGAGGGACAGCTTCAATGAAATCATTGCCAATCTTAGAGTACATGCTTAAAATAATTTCATCTAATTAGACATTTTCTAGTATTTTTATATCAAAAACTAATTCATTATTATTTTTTGTGAAAATATTACTTTTCGATATATAGTTAGAAAAAGTTGCATTTCTTTTTTCAAGGTGAGAAAAAGATTAGACTAATTCTTGTGTTCAAAGTTCCCTGTTCCATTTTTGATTCTCTTTGAATTGATACTGTTGCTTGATAGGGCTGGAGTTTGCAAGGTCTCAGGAGGATTTGATGAGTCCAATTCAGAAACAGATTTGACTCCTGTTGTATTCCTACCTTAGTAATATGTCTAGAATCTTCTATGCAAGGATATGATGATGGTTCTGATGAATTTTCCGAAAGATGTTCAGACGCGTTTTCTTTCCAAACATCTATAAGACCTTGTGAAGAGGTGTTGTTTGAGTTTAACTCTTCTTCTAAAATGTTGTGCCAATCCGTTCTGTTTGGTTCAAGTTCAGTGGAACTGTCCCTGAAGCGTTCTTGCATTGCAAGGTGTACTGTACCTATTTTTATTTTACTTTGTGCCAAACTAGCCTTATCATTGGGTGCGTCATTAAGGGTTGCCATTAGTCTCTTTTTTTTACTTTCAAATCTTAGCTCTACTCGACTTCTTTTGCTTGGTACAAGGGCTTTTGCCCTTGTAAGAATGCTATTGTTATTTGAGAATAAAACTTCTTTAAGAATTTTGATGTCTTTGACACACACCCGGCAACCAGAAGTGGATGAAGATCTCCGGGTTAATCCGGATTAAATTTTTTTGTCAAAACATAGCAGCTTACTAAAGTCCACAGAAAAATGCATTTGTTAAAATTTCCCTCCTCCTTTGCCAAGCCCAAAATATTAACGTTACAAACTAATCGTTTATTGGGTTGTACACGGAACTTTTGTATATTTTTGGCCACCTTCTAATCACCAAATAAACAATTTTTTTATTATTCTGTATGGAAATCATCAAAATACTACTTTTCGTTAAAAGCCAGGTACTGCATTATTTCATAATTTATAAATTTTTGCAATAAATACTAAAAAAGCAAAATTTTAATTTTTAGATTCTTAGATAGCGATACAAAATTGATACTAAATAATTTTATTTAATTAAAAAAAATTTAAAAAAATTTTAGTGTATAATACCTTAAAGAAAGGTTTTATTGTTTTTATCCGATTATTAATTTCACATTGTTTTGAATATCATTGGCCAAAAGCATATGCTAAAAAATTTCCTTCTTTTATTTGCTACCAACAACTCCAAACTTAAATTATTGTGAAAGACCAAGTGAGGTTGGTTCAATTAGTTTTTAAAATCCGTTGATAGTCATTAAGAATTCTAATTAACCTTATGTTAGGACCACCCTCATGTTGGTCCCTCGCAATTATTATTATTGTTATTCACGGTACGATGATTTAACATGAATGGTATAATTGACATGGTAAATGTCGTAGTTGAGCGCTTGAAGTTAAACATGCTAACCAACAAAATGTATGCAGGATTGCCTAATTTCAGGGGCAGATACCAACTTCAAGCACAACAGCATCATGGATCTTACGGAACACCTCAATGAACTCAATTGCATGCCATCAAATTTGGTCGAAAAAAACTTTTTGTGAAAATTAGGTGCATATTTGTGAAAATTAGCTTTTACATAAAATTATCGATATATGCACATATTTCTTTAAGAATTTCAAGATGAATAAAATGAATTCATTTCGATTGTTTCTTTCTCTAATAGTTATTAGTTTATCACCCATAATTGTGACATGTTATATTCCTGATGGTCGTGGTGGACATGCTAACGTTTTAATTGGGAGTAAACTCTACTTTTTTGGTGGAAATACCATGAATCCTAGGTTTACTAACCAAGTAATATATCTTGATTTATCACGTTCATTTAATATTATCTCACCTTCGTGGGTTCAAATTACGACTTCGCCAATTCCAATTCCACTTTATTCACCAGTACCTTGTCTTTCTGCTGACGGTTCCACAGTTTTCTTAGTTGGTGGAATGACGCAGGATCCGCTGAATTCATCGATTCTTTTGTTTCCATCATTATCAGTATATGCATTTAATTTTAATACTTTACAGTGGACAACACCAAATATTACCAATTTTAATACAACGTTTTTGGGACGTCAAGATATAATAGGTGTTGCTGATAATGATGGAAAATACTACATTTATGGAGGATATATAACAAACTTAACAGAAACAACACCTTTTGTTGCTTATAATGACACAAACATATTTGACACAAAAGTAATGAACTGGACAACATTAAATTTGCCCAATCCACCGATTACTCGTATATATTATAGTGCTACAATGAAAGATAGCTCTATATATTATATTGGCGGTTTAGGTTATAGCAATACTTTTGATTTGAATGAGGTATTTGTAATTTACATAGAAAACTTCAAATTCATATCTTATATGATATCTTATACAATGGCTAATTGAATCAAATTAAGTAGATTTCGGTATTTGATACAACGAATTTAAAATGGTTGACTATGGTATGTACTACGTACGTAAATTATAACAATGTTAAAAGAATGTAATTTTAATTTGTTTTGTTTTTTAGACGACTCTTGGTGATTCAATTTCAGGTCGTAGTGGACACTCAGCTGTTTTAAGTATGTTAATGATTTATGTTATAACATGAGTTTATGTGAGTCTATTTGACGTATAACAACTGTTATACGACCCACGTTTACCATGAAAAAGAAACATTATTATTATTAACTTTTATATTTTTAAACAGCTCAAGATGGACTTATTCTTATTTATGGTGGGCAAGGAAGCAATAACAATCAACCATCACCTGATGCTGCACTATTGAATATAAGCGTATCACCGTACACGTGGACGGCTATTACAGATAAAGCACCACAAGTACTTATGCACCATACAGCAGTATTATATGGAATATATATGATTGTAGCATTTGGTAATCATATTATTTTTAAATATCAAATTTAACGTTCTGGTTTAATCCGAATATAAGGATACTTTAGTGAACTACGCAATTCATAACGTTTACTATATTTTAAATTGATTCATTTTGAGTACTAAAAAGCTTTCTAATTTAGTGATTTAATTTTATTCTGTATTTAGGTGCAATTGTTCCTTCACCACTAAGATCAGGAATGGCATTAAATAATAATGTATATCTCTTTAATACACAAAATTATACGTGGATTAAAACTTTTGATGCGTTAAATATAAATGGAACTAATTCAAAACCAGACAATAAAGGTTCAGATTCACTTTCATTAGGAGCAAAGATTGGCATTGTTGGAATTGGTGTAGGTGTAGTGGCTGCGATTGTTATATATTTTGCATGGTTCTTTATTTATAATAAAGTTTCTAGACGTGATAATTTACGTCATTTTACAATTTATTTTTATCTTAAATTTAAAAATAATGTCCGTTACCTTGCAACCGGTGAAATCGGTAAAAAATATTACAAATTTAAACATGAATTTATGATCATATAAATTTGTCAAATAAAAATTTCCAATAAAAAAAAAACCAATCTATTTTTAACTAGTCGTATAAAACACCTACACATTCTTGTACATAACGAATTGTTTCTTCGACAAGAACTATTTTTATTGCTGCAATTAGCTTTTTTATGATGCCAATTTTCTTGAGCTTATTCTCTTGGGATGTTAATTACTGTATTTTGCATTGATTAGAAAAACGGATTTTACATACGTAGTTTAGAACTTTTTTTGAAAACTCGACTTGTGGTATAAACTTTATATTTACGAATCATATCTTTTCAACTTTCTGTATGATGTAACATTATCTTACACGAATTTTTATCATGACTTGCACATTTAGTCTCCTGGGATGTGGAACAAATAATTTTATAAAAGTTTTCTGCTGGACAAATGTGTCACTTAATTGTCTCCAGTTTGCTTAATTAAACGAAGCTCTTTAATCATATTATTGCGATTTCATTATTATTATTGAAAAATTGAAAAAATTATATTTTTATCGCATTTATATCAAATATATTGCTACCTATAATTACCACCAGGGTGAAAATCTCGTGTAACCTAAATTTAGACCATTATAGGTAATTTTAAGTATATGGAGTCTTTTCCTTGAAAATCATTATTCGACAAAACAAACCAAAATCCGGTTCATATTTATGCGTAAATCACCTTTTACCTTTATTGATTCAACAGTTCATTGAATAACTATTAAATCAATAAGGGTAAAAGATGCTTTACACATCAACACTTATATTAATACGCAAAAAACGTCATCGATCATTGAATCACTTGAGTGAGTCTAATAACTGACTGCATTTAGGGATGGGCAATGTAATTTTTATGTAATCGATATGTATTTTTTAGGCCTTACATATTTTATGAATTATTACATATTATTACATAATTTTTAAG